GAGAGAGAGAGAGAGATAAGAGATACAGACATAACAAGTAAGAAAAGAGGGAGACACAGAGTAGAACAGACTGACGGAGATTGTTGTACTGTTTCAGACCGCCAGACGGATAAACAAACAAAGAAAAGACCTTTGTAAACTTCAAACCCATGAACTGGTCCGATAAGCAATCATTTCACAGCGTAACGATGGCGATCGTTTTGTTTTCCTCTTGCGCCCGTGGCAGCATAAGATAACTGCCCAAACACGGGACAAAGGATGATGACCATTATCCTTAAAAGTGTTATCCAGCACAAAGGATTGATTCCCCAGTTGTCCGCCGGGCCGACCGGCTCCACAATCCAACAAAGGGTGGTTATTTCTGCACTTAAAAACCTGGCTACTTTAGAAAAGAAAGCCACTAGGTTTCCAAGTGGATTGCCTTTTATTCACTGCACAACCTTCTCTAGTGGGTTTCAGGATCCCTATGTAGTGAGGGGCTGGGACTCACTGCATCCTAACAAGCATGTCGTAAGATGCGACTATTTATAGTTTTGCTCAAATTGGATGTGTAAGGCAGATTTCGAAGCGTAGACGTAAAACACAACACAATATCGTAGCTTAGATTGTAACGGTGAGAGAAGACGACACAGAAAAAGAAGAAAAAATAAAGAAGAGGAAGAAGAAGAAGAAAATGATGGGGAAAAAAGAAAAAGAAGAAGAAGAAAGTGAAGAAGAAGAGGAGGAGGAACAAGCAGTTGTCTCTACGGTTGAAGGAAATATTACAAAGGGTTACTCTCTTTTCCATGAAATCATTCTGCAGTTTTCCCGTTCTGGGGATTGTTCTATCTGTACAATATACGAGGGCACCAATAAACTAGTGCCCCATATTTTGTGTTTCTCTCTGGTAACCCGTGTGTGCAGAATGTGTGAGATTTACTGACAATATAACTTACTATCTCCTTTTCCCATCCGACATTTCATTATGTCTTTCTACTTTATGGCCTTATCGCCAGCCTTGCTCTCAGGGTCATTGTAAAAATTCCAGGACCCAAATCTCTCTCTCTCTCTCTCTCTCTCTCTCTCTCTCTCTCTCTCCCTCTCTCTCTCTCTGTCTGTCTCTCTGTCTCGGTCTCTGTCTGTCTGTCTCTCCCTCCCTCTCCTACCCCCTCCCACCCCCCTTTTTGAGTAAGGCAATCGAAGCTTTAAACGCTTTACGGATTTAAGATACACACACTGGCCCGGTGTAGCGTTGATATAAATCTCAGTAGAACGACCTTTCCAGCCAAGTAACAACAATTGGGTCACGTCACACCTTTAACATCAACACTCCGGGTGATCAGATTAACCCTTTCTGTCTCCCATTATCAGCAAGATTTAAGCTTATCAGATAAACTTGTTGTGTCCAGACACGGGCAAACAGTATTTGTCACGCTGTGTCCTTACAAAGAGACTAGGATGTGAGAAATCTGAACTAGTTAGCACAGCTATAGAAGGTAGAACAGTGACCATTCAAAAGAGGGGAAGGGGAGAGGGTAGGTGGTCAGCGCCCCTCTGAGAAAAAAAAAAAAACAGGCATGTGAGGGTGGGCAACCCTCCCCCTTCCTCAATCACCCCGACTGCTCAGTTTGACTTACAAATATTTTCATCAAAAATTTTGTTTAAAAGAGGGTGGGAGCAACAAGCGCCTAGGGCTGCCGAAGTTTGGTACTTTCGTACACATTTAGTACTTACTGTTTTACCCTTGCCGAGCAAAACTTGAACTGCTCCTACCGGGCCCTATGTTTTGGTACTTTAAAGAAATTGTGCATCAATATTTTAAATTTTGATATTGTAGGCTGGTTCCAGTCAAGTCGATGTGAACGCTTCGTAATGCCGGGGTGCCGGGTTCGATCCCAGCTGCGAGTCATGCGCCTTGCGTTGGTTTCGACAGTGGTGTCAGGGAGCTGACAGTCCAGAAAGCAAAATAGCAAACTACTAGACGTAAATTTGCCTTGAAAAACCACTGAAATGTCCCAGTCTTGTTGAAGAATAAAATCACGAACACATAAATAAATAATGGAGGTAACTAGATGTGCAAGATCAACCACATAATGCTGATAAATACACAAGAAACATTTTGGTTTGCAATTTCAGAAGAAAAGTGTAAAGATATAAAAAAAATCAGAAAACCACGACACAGGTGCCAATGAAGAAGAAGAAGAAGAAGATGATGATGATGATGATGTAAATTGCTCTCTATTAGTATCGACATTTATGCATAGTCTTCTGGCATTACATTACTCCTCTGCAGCTGCAGAAAGAGTTTTCTCTATAACATGTCCAAATGTTTTTTGAAATGGCTCCGCATTTAGAAACTTCCAATAAATACATTGATGAGTTCTAAGTTTATGTTCTAGGGCATTAACTGCAACAGCTCGAAGTCTCCATAACAGCTTTATAAGAAACTGAGCACCAACACACACTCACACACACATAGGTACATAAAAAACATTTCAGTTATGATGAAATACAAGGTGAGCCAGTTATAAAATAAGTCTTTAAAAACATTTTATCGATGTTTTCAGTAAAAATGTAAAAACCTGCTCCTTTTAATTTGTTTTGGTACCTTAACAGTTTTTTTAAAAAAATGGCCAGATTTGGCCCGCGAGCCACCAGTTGAATAGCCCTGCGCTACACTACTGCAAAGCACTGAATTTCCAGTTTTGTACATGGTGTATTCTACAGCACATTGACGGGCATTCACCGTCTGCGAGATAAGATGCCCGAGAAAAGCTTACCCACTTGAAACTAAGTCAATAATGATACTATCATTCAGCTTGCGTGAACAACACTCTGTACTGAATATATCGAGAAACAACAGATCAAATGGTTCGGGCACCGCCTTAAAATGCAGTAAAAAATATACCACCACAGGCACCACATCTTAAAAGAACAGTCACAAGAGCAAATGGACACCCACGGAAATATGGATCGACAAACTTAAAGACACTCTACGCCTTCACGACACGACAATAGCCAGTGCCAGCCAGCGTGCCCTGGATGGAAAATCATTCCTCCCCACGGTAGACGTGGTATATAAAGATGATGATGATGATGATGATGTAGAGGTGGCCTGGTAAGTTTGGGGAATAATTACATGGTTGACTGCAGTAAGCTGTTCAGTGAAAGAAAGGTTGGCGTGTGTAAGCCATATATCCTTCTAACAGACTGAAATTTAAACTAATAGAGAAATGGTTACAACAGGCTTCGTTGTTAATTTCATGGGGGCTTGTGTTTATCTAGTCTGGAGACGTAAGAAAGATAAAATGAAAGAATGTAAGGAAAATTAGAAAGAAGCAAATTCAGTAAGTAGTAGTAGTAGCAGCAGAAGAGGTAGTAGTGGTAGTTCGTAGCAGCAGTAGTAGTAGTGCATGTAGTAGTAGCAGCAGAAGCAGTAGTAGTAGCAGCAGCATCAGTAGAGGTAGTAGCTGTAGTAGTAGTAGTAGTAGCAGCAGCAGCAGCTGAGCAGCAGCAGAAGTAGTAGAAGTAGCAGCAGCAGTAGTAAGTAGCAGTAGAAGTAGTAGTTAGTAGTTTGGTTAGTAGTAGCAGCAGCAGCAGCAGCACAGAACAGCAGCAGCAGCAGTAGAAGTAGTAGCTGTAGTAGTTAGTAGTTAGGTTAGTAGTAGTAGCAGCAGCAGCAATGAACATATCTCCTCCCCCACACCAATGTCACTGAAACCCTGAAACAGCAAATAAGGGAAATAACAATTAGATATAAAAATGAAAAACTAACAAGCAACAAATACAAAGCTAGCGCCCTTTAACAATTCAGTTCCTTTGGCTGTCATCTGAAACATAAATCTTGTAGAGGTCATTTCAGAGCCCACCTCAGCAGTTTGTGTGTGTGTGTGCGGGGGGGGGGGTTCCTCGCGCGCGCGTGTGTGTGTGTGCGTGCGTGCGTATGTGTGTGTGTGTGACTTCTTTTGTTTTACTGGGCATTTGTACCTTCAGTAGTTTGCTATCGCTTCTAAATGGTCGGTGATGCATGCTGTTGTCGAACTCAATGCAAAGCGGACTAGTGCCAAATCACCTGCAGCTGCAATTGAACCAGGTGTACTACTCGTGCAAAGTCAAGGACCACTTAGAAAATACCTTGGCTGAAATCATTTAAAGAAAACAAATCGTATGTGCACGCTCCCTGTGTGGGTTCCGGGGCCCCATTGTGGAGAAAACAAAAATAGACCCACTGCCTCCCCAGACAAGCATGTCGTAAGAGTCTTGACATTTCAAAATCGTGTATAAACGCCGTCTGCAGCATGGCATTCAAGACCGCGTAGACGTATTGTCCACAAGAGTACGAAGAGTATCCTGAGGAACAGATTGCTAATGTTGAAGCAGAAACCTTTAGTTGGCAAACATTAACAAGCAGCGACAATGTCTGGAGTATACGACGCACCAGTTCCTGATCACCGAAGGAAATGGGACAAGGATGTCTATGAGAAGTTAGCACAGGAGCGACTCAAAGAGCTTGAAGAGGACAGCAGTGAAAGTGAAGATGAACACAAAATTCCTGTCAAACGAGAGCTGCTTAAACCTCGTGATTATAAGGTTGATCTTGATTCAAAACTTGGAAAGTCCCAGGTTATCACTAAAACCACTCCAGCTGCTCATCAAGGAGGCTACTATTGCAATGTATGTGACTGTGTTGTGAAAGACTTCATTAACTTCCTTGACCACATCAATGGCAAAAAACATCAGAGGAATCTGGGTATGTCCATGAAGATTGAGAGATCTTCATTGGACCAAGTGAAAGCAAGATTTGAGTTGAATAAGAAGAAAAGGGAAGAAAAGAAAAAAGATTACGATTTTGAGGAGAAAGTAAAAGAATTACAAGAAGAGGAAGATAAACAGAAAGCATATAAAAAGGAAAGAGGAAAGACAGAAAACGGAAAGCAGACAGCTCTACCTACGATGGAGATCCTGATATGTCTGTCATCATGGGATTTTCAGGATTTGGAGGGTCGTCAAAAAATAATTAATTCGTGTGTCTGTCTTAATTGCTGATATAAGAGATTGTTTCCGTGGAGTGTTTGTTTGATTGTTTCCGTGGAGTGTTTGTTTGATGGATGAAAGGATAATTCAGTTAAATAATGCGGCTGATTTTATTAAGGCCAAAACATGTCATCCAAACATCTGGCAAAATTGTAACACCACCTGGCATCAGGCGACAAGTTGCCCGCCATTTTTTATTTAAGCTAGTAAAAGTTGTGGAGCCAAGGGCAAACATTGATCTGTTTGGGACTCTAAAAGGTGCTCTTGAAACAGTTAAGTTGATGAGGATCAATGTTTATCTTGTGCATTAGATAGTATTTACCATTCAAAACTGGTGTGGAGAAGATGAAGCTGAGCCGGGACATTCAGTTTCTGTCTTCTTCTTCTTCTTTTTCTTGTCTCAATGATACCAGGTTCTAGCTCAGTATCGTGGTTTTGTCGTCTCATTGATACCAGCTTGTAGCCCAGTGTTGTGGTTTTCCATGTTTGTCTTCTTGGGTGGCTTGGGTCACGGATTTCAGTTTTTGTTTATAAGGGTAAACTCATTGCAAAAGTCCGAGAATAGTAATCTAAAGGTCGGTGTCTGACTTTGAGGATTATGGCTGTTGAATATGGTAAAAATTGATCCGCATAAACTAATCTCATTAAATAAACTGTTTCAGGAGCACTTTTCTGAGTCTGGAGTAGAATTTATGTTAACTTTTGGCTCCATGCTGCATACATAATGATGCAATATTCACTAGCTAAACAAAATGGTTTGTAACTGGTTGTCTGCTGACTGGGTAGCATAAGTTTTGTCAGAATATAGATAAATGGTAAATGTTTGGATGAGGTGCTTTGCTTAATAAATGATTTTGTGTGGTTTTGGTTATAATAAAATCATTCTCATTACTTACCTGTCTGTGTGTCTTTACCTGTACCGTCTGTACCTCTCTGTAGTTACTTCTGTAAATGATAGAATTATTCTAGTATTTGTAGCTGTCTCTAGAAAAACAGATAAGGGGACAGTCCTCATCAAGACTGATTAAAGCCATAATCAGTCTGATCAGAACCATGAAACATTGACAGTCAGTATGTTTTGGACATGTTATGAGAAGGAATTGACTCAAGAACTTGGTGACGATTGGCAAGATTGGTAGAAAGAGAGCTAGGGGAAGACAACTAAATAAATACCTGGATGGCTAGTCATATGAAAGAGGAACACTGACCTGATCCATGATTCTGTTGAGCCTGTGAGATGTTTCTTCACTTTATAGAAGGCATGTTAAATATGAGGCCCGCACAAAGGATACGTAAGCTAATAATTTTATTAAATGACTTCGGTTAGTTGTTAATTGTGGCCCTCATGATGACACACATATAGCCCTCGGGGGACCTTCACTTTGACATGTATGCTAGTCGTTAGGCCCCCCCCCCCCCCCCCCCCCCCCCGTTTTTTTACCTGTTCTGATATTATGACATTTTTGGTTTATTCCTCACATTTATTTGTTTCTAATATGCTTAAAATTATAGTATAAAATGCATCCGTGCAACACCTATCGGCTAGGTGATTTGCAGTAAATATTCAAGCAAAGATATCCCAGGGGTGCTCAGTCGGATTAAGAGGTGAATGAGCTGGCAACGCCTTCCTGATAATTAAATGTGGTTGAATAAAGTCATTCATCAAACGAACTCGATAGGGTTGAGCGTTATCATCTTGGACACTGCAGACTCAATAAACACTCACATAAATTAGGTATGAGCCAAACAGCTCTCTGCCAGCGCCTTCGTGCTGAACAGACTCCAGAACATGTCCTGCAAGACTGTCCTCTCCTGGCGGAGCTGCGGAGCGACATATGGCAACACCCAGTAGAACTGACAACTAAGCTTTGGGGAAACCTAAGAGACCTTGAAAAGACATCCCAGTTTACGACCCACAGTGGATTATGCGCAAGACCAGAGATCGCTGAAGAAGAAGAAGATCTTGGGGGTTGGCTTTACCATCTATGGCCTCCAGAGCAGGCTGAACAATTGGTCTCAAGATATCGTTCTTGTATCTTGTAATGGTCAAGTTGGCTTGGATGATGTAGAGTGGGGTTCCGTCGTTTCCTTAGATGCCTTTTAAGACCATGCCAGAACTACTTACATATCGATCATACTTTCGGATTGTACCATTCGTAAATTACTCCCCTGATTGTCTCCAAACTCGAATCCTGCCATCATTGAATGACGCAGTAAAGCGAGATTCATCATTGAAGAGGACTTGACTCCATTGTTGCCTTGTTCCTCAGATGTTGCTCGCGACACCATTCAGCACGGGCTTTACGATGAGCAAGAGTAAGAGCGATTTTCACGGCCGGACGTTGAATAGCCAGTCCAAATTCACGCAAACGTCTGCGAATAGCGCTTTGACTGAGATTAAGTTTACAGTGAAGCTGCGTGGTCTTGAGGCATGACGACCGCTTCGAGTGCTAGAGGTCCTGCGTTCAAACCCCGTTGAAGGCTGGGATTTTTTCATGTGGACTTCTAGTAATTTCCCCTAGTCTCTGGGTAGTGAGATCGGACGCCCTATGTACTGTTGCGCACGTAAAAAAAAATCTCTTGGCAGTTGGGAATCGAAAAAAGCAACATGACTTTGCTGTCTGGGCAAAATTTGGAGTTAGTTTGTGTACTGCGCTGAGATTCTTCAGATTCAGGCTTCAGTTAGAAGAAGGAGGAACACTTACTGGTTACTGAGAATAATACTTGTGACGAGTAGTGTATTTCGGAATTACCAAGTGCACTTAAAACATCTATGCAACGTGCCATTTGTATTGGATCCCCATACATCTGCTACACGTATTCTCTTTGTATAAGTCATCATCATCATAAATTAAATTCTGCTGTTAAGCAGCATGTGGAGGAATAATTTGCGATCCAGTGCGCGTTGGCTGCCACCGGCTATTGTTATGCAGCGAATGTTTAGAGTGTCTTTAACGTTATCGATTCATGTTTCACGGCCGTCCTCTTGCTCTCGTAGCTGATCTTCTGAGATGTAGTGCTTGTGAAAGCTGATTTTAAGAAGTCAACATTAATTTCCCATTGTGGGAGAGAACAGGCTGTAGACCTCAGCGTGTCGCAATAGGCGACTAAGTAGGGGTGCTTCCTTCTAAGTTGGAGTTCATCTGCATATAAGGTAGGGAACTAACAGTCTGCACACAAGTAAGCCAGGCCTGTCTGACGGAATTGCACGCAAAACACAAGTTCTGAAACAAGACAAAGTCCAGAAGCTGACAATCAAAACTTGCCGGAGTTTGCAGCCAGGGGATCGCAATGAATAATAATAATAATAATAATAATAATAATAATAATAATAATAAAAGGAAGAAGAAGAAGAAGAAGGATGAGGAGGAAAAGAAGAAGAAGAAAAAGAAGAAAAAGAAGAAAAAGAAGAAGAAGAAGCAGAAGAAGAAGAAGAAAAAGAAGAAGAAGAAGAAGAAGGAGAATAAGAAGAAAAAGAAACGAAATAGAAGAAGATAAGAAAAAGAAGAAGAACAATAACACACACACAAAAAAGCAAATAATTTACTCAAAATCATCAGTTTATTTTAATTTTTTTTTTAATGTAGATTTTGGCAAAATTAAATGCACAGTCAATGAGTCAAAATTATTGGCTGCAATTGTATACACAATTTCATGAATAATTTGTCACTTATATAACAGAAAAAAATAACTATATAAATATGATACAATATTTTGCTGGTAAAAACAAAAAATATGCAGACACATCGGCTTAATCGCCAATAATACATATGTTTAGTTAGGGACGTAATGATATCTGAAGCTTCAGGGAAGAAATACGATCCAAAATGCAATAGCAACGTAAGAGGGAAGTCTCTCTCTCTCTCTCTCTCTCTCTCTCTCTCTCACCCTCTCTCTCTCTCTCTCTCTCTCTCTCTCTCTCTCTTCATCTCTCTTTATCTCTCTCTGTATCTCTCTCTCTCTCTCTCTCTCTCTCTCTCTCTCTCTCTCTCTATCTATCTATCTCTCTCTCTCTCTCTCTCTCTCTGTTTAAGTGGAGGAAAAAACTATCCCAGTTCAACCAGCTACTCTTAAAAAAAACAGCTTTTGGTTATAATTGCGATTGTGTTACTTGCGCCAAATTAATTGGCTAAAATGTGATTCTTGTTACGTCATGATATCACAGTCGACGTCTCTGCACACTTGGCAATCTCTTGCGGGCTCAGTCCTACGATGCAGCACTCATTCGCAGCTCAGCACGCAAACCGCCAAGACGTCTCCTCAGCTTGTTTGTTCAGTTACCTTTCTCTCGCAGCCAGCGAACTTGCCTTATAACAAGAAATCCAGGGTAAGTTCTGCGTTTATCATCATCATCATAAACCACTTATGCCGTTAAGCATGGTGGGGAGGAATAATTTTCGATCCATTGCAGGTTGGCTGCCACTGGCTATTGTCATGCCGTGAAGGCGTAGTGTCTTTAATGTTGTCGATCCATATTTCCGCGGCCGTCCTCTTGCTCTTGTAGTTGATCTTCTGAGATGTAGTGCTTGTGATGGTATTTGATCCTGCTGCATTCTATCGAGATGGCCAAACCACTTGATCTGATCTGCTGTTTCTCGATGAATCTAGTACAAGGTATCGTTCCCACAATTTGCCTGATAGTTTCATTATTCACTCGATCTCGTATGGTTAGGTTGGCTGCTTTTCTCAGGCACCTCATCTCGCAGGTAGTGATTTTGCGTATATGGGCTTTAGATGGTGTGCATGTTTGGCACTGGTAGCGTAATGTTGGACCCAAATAGAGTAGGTTACTTTTCATTCACAAGTTTGTTGGGCTGGTCGACTTTCTTAAAGGTTACGGGTGTGTCGCGTTCTGTTGTTTGGTTTTTGCGATGTCTTGCATTTACGTTTTCATTCTAAGAAAGAGAATGCCTGTGACATAGGTTGCAGCACTCTCTATGGAGTTGTGTTAGACTCTCCATGTTTTTGGAGTGTTACAAGCGCTGGT